TAAATTCTCAATCTTCTCAGAATATTCTCAGTTAAAAAGAATATTTCAGAATATTCTCGAACCGAGAATATCTCTAATTACATAGCCCTCGCTGTTATTCTGCCATGGCCCGTCATAATTTGAAACATAACAATTCATATATACATATGTTATGTAAAAAAAATCTATACTATAATTAGTAGACAATAATATAATAATGTATCATATCGTAATCATACGTCCAAAGTCTGAAAACAACAATGGCGTCGAAAATGTCAAAACTGGAGGTTTAACACGTTTTTAACTACCTGTGTATACTAAACTTTACTGAAGTCTAGCTTACTCCTAGAATTTCTTTTATCCATAAAAAATACGAGTATTGATAAAAATGGAATATAAACGCATCCTGAGTAAATCGAAAAAAAAAAAGAACGGCCTGTATAAATCTCAAACTAGAGATTTATCTTTTTGATCTATCGAGATAATTATACATATTGTGGAACGACCCCAGGACCTTCATTCCGAACGTTGTTTGATTCAGTCCCTTGATTCACTCCACCACGACCCTTAAATGTACTTTTGTGGTAGTCGGTGAATAAATAATAAATCGACGAAGTTTGATTGATTTTTCTCTTTGGAGATGGTTCCCTAATCTGTTTGGAAACTTGTTAGTTTCCAATTGTGGTTGAGACAATGTTTTCAAAAATGGCGGAATCTCATACTTTTTGATAATATTAGTAGCAATAACCTTTAACATTCCTAAAGTTTAGCTATCTATCATTTTACCGCCTAATAATTACTTTCAAATTTTATTTAGTAACAAAGAAATTGTAAGCTTTTTATTTTTTAGCAAAATATTTGATATAATTCTTATGACTAGGTGATGAAATTTGTCCGTCCATCTCCAGTAATTATAAGTTTGTTCGGATCCCAGTCGATTGCACAATGTACTGGTAAGGCATTCCGTATATACTTTTCCCACGGTAGCAGTAAATAATAATTGAATCACATTACATCACCGTGTGTGACTAAGCTAAAGCGACACGAATGATAGACGAAATAGTATGGAAAAGAAGGTGTAAAAGCCTAATCTGACACCTCTACATTCCATTATAACCCGTGCCCTATCGAATTTCATTTGCCATTTTGTTAGGATGTAGTGCTAGTAATTTCTTTTATTGTTCTAAACCTAAGGTACGTAGGTGTGTCATACGATATTTGTACAGAATGCCGGTTTTACGATCGCCGGATTTTTAAACGAATTGAGAAATAAGCTTCATTTAGTACGCCAGTTTTCAGTCATCCGAAATTTAGTACAAAAATTAAATGGGGCTACATTCGTCTCGCGCGCTTTTACAGTAGTAAGACGAGAAATCTTCGTAGATCCACGTCTTGTGTTTAGAAAATGAAACTATTTTTTCGGATCTATCTCGCGTATATTTGTGTCGGCCATTAACCATGGGACCTGTAAAGGACCCGAAACGGTGAATTGTTTGAAAAAATATGCCATTTAGATCCGCATAATCTCAGTACAGAGTACAAAAAAATCGACCTCAAAAGTCATTCATCCCCTAGTTTGCCACCCTTAGAGGTGGACAAAAAACATACAGTCGAATTGGGAACTTCCTCCTTTTTTGAAGTCGGTTAAAATAATAGTTTTATTTTCTATATGTAACAATCGCGAAAAACTGGGAACTCGTCAAGTGTTCTTCTGCATTTTCTTTAAAATTGCTTCACTATAAATCTTCATTTTAAGGAATGTTTCATGACTTGCACTTTTCACTTGGTAAGAAACCTTATGGTTTAACGGCCTAGTGAAGAGTTGACAAGCTAGGCAAGCTACAATAAACTTATGAATTATTTCATTATTTTCCGACTTTGGATGAAAGATATGGGTGCTAAAAAGTGTTCAGATCTTCTTCGAGATAGGCGTGTAAAACTGGTTTGCTTCATTTTGCGGAGCACTCTATTGTCCTGTCAGACTAGTGCATTTATATTTCTTTTAAATTAATGAAAAATAGTCATGCAATTATTTGAATAATAGAGTGTCATGAAATTTTAGTAAAATACATCAATAAAAAATAAAAGAGCTTTCGAGAAACGCCGCCTCCGAGCGTCTGTTAGCGTTTCGTTGTCGGATGAGTTCACACCACATTAAACTACGAGGTCCTTTTTAGGAGCACGCACAGAGAGGACTGGATTCTTGAATGGACTTATTTCCTTGTTTCTTTTACTCAACGGTAACGTATTTTTTGTAGAGTTTTCGAAAAATTAAACACTCTTTTTATTTTCAGATTTATTTATAGTGATTAGCGTTATCATTGTATGTATTGTGAATGAAATATTCTTTATTGCACATAAAATTGCAGTTAAAATACAATACTAACAATAATATTATTATATAATTAGTAAATTCCGATTACTATGTTTGCTTTTTATTTCATTTTAAAGTCATACTTTGTCGAGATACGAATTATGGGACTGTAATTTCAATATAATTGTCACTGGTACGATGCAAACATTAAAAACCTACTTGAAACGCTTGCGTCTATCTTGGCTTATTTCCGTTACGTAGGTATACTTTTCTATAACTGTGAATGAAATTAATTCAAAATTTCACTTTTGATGAAGAGATACAATGTTGAATTGTGTTATAATATTCGCAGCGTTTGATTCCCTTTCTCGTGGCAGACATCCGTCGCTATTGTTCGCGGAATTTTAAGCAAACTTTTTTTTCCGCCGCACAATAAGCATCTCATTAGCGTTTTATCAGTAACACCATATCGTCTCGAGAGTAACACCGCAACTGCAGATTAGTTAATAACCCCATCACGTTACTTGCGTGATTCATAAGCGATAAGCGATTTCCCGGGGCGCGGCGAGTAAATGGTAATAATAATAACTTCTAGTTTTAGCCCTATCTTTTTAGTTTTTTTTTTAAATCTGTAGAGAATTCTAGAGTTATGTAATAGTGGTTTTCAGTAAATATTGTATAATTCTAATTGATACAGTGTTTTCGACTAATGAATCTCGTATCGAAATGAATTTACATAACATTTTCTAAACAAAATCATTTATTGTATACTATCACTTGCTCTATTCCCATGGCTACAGTAATAACTTGTACATAATTGTTAATCAATGATCTATTATCTATCAGACGCACATTTCTCCCAAGTTTTTATCATATTCACAGATGACCGCTTCTCGTTTGAACCGTGGCGGAAGACCAGGGGCCCCATCTAACACTTGACAGCCGACAATTCGTTTTTAAAATCGCTATAAATTGTTCGCGTCTTTAAGAACGGTGGTTTTATTTCAAGATATCAGGAAACCTTTACGTGTTCTGTTCCTTGTAGCTATATATTATTATCAGAATTATCGGTTTTCTTATCAATAGCAAACAAGTGTTATTGGTTTTACAACATTTAACATGAAAAAATGAAAATGATCGTTCACTTTGACTAAGCGTGACGATTTAGGCAACCAACCTTATATTCCAAGAATCATGATTAAAAGGTTCATACAAAAGAAAAGTTAGTCTAATCACGAGACTTATTAGAGTTGTAATTAGCAAAATGTCGTTGTTTTTCATTTATTTTGTTTGTAGCCATGTTTATTAACATAAAATTAATTTCTAATGTAATCATCATTGCTTTATTAACTTTTTGCACGGCGAAAGTTTATAAAATCGTTTCGCATATTTTTTATATTGTTTGTATTAAGATTTCGCACGCTGTAATCGTGATAAATGTTATAGGATAATTTACTTTCTTCATGTTTAGAATTGAATAAATCATTAATCATTAGTGTGTCAGGAGTATCTACATGTTCACTTTTACTTTTAAAAATCAAATAGTTGTTTAATGGGTTTAACCTTCAAAGGAATGTTGACGATTGTTGTACACAGGTACACATGTATTGGACCGGTTAACGGACAGCTATGCATTATTGTTTAAAGAAGCGCAGATATTTTCTGTGATTTAGTGTGTTTGCAGCAGAACGTTAAATATTTCAATGATATCAGGAAAAGGAAAATTCAATCATTGTTTTTCAGTTACAAACCCGACGTTTCCTCGCGTAGTACCATTTCTTAGCCTCATAAATTAAAGCGCCGATGCAGTTACCGTTAAGAGCGGACAGATTATTTTGTCCAACAATATCTTGCGGGTTGGGGTCAATTTGACCCATTCAAGCGGCTTATAGGTTGTTAGAAAGGCGTAAACGTTATAAACTTGAACGATTCGCGGAATATGTTCTGGTGAAGATTTCTATCGGCACCAGAACTATATAAAAATTTAAAAATGTGGTTGTGAAAAATCTCGCCAATAGATCCTAGCTAACCTGAATTGGTTTCAAGTACAATGACGTTTTAGGGGTTTATTTGAATAGGCGTAAACTGTACATGAAAGGATCGCGACAATCTTAAGTAGGCACAGAAAATGGCCTTTGTCTCGTCCACTGATATAGTGTTGGACTTAATAAGCAGGGTTGGAAACATTGATTGCCCGAGCACACTCTCTCCAGCTATTGTGACAAAACGTCGACTAGGTGAGGTATTCGCGAAAATAATACGGTGTGTTGGACATCAGTGGTGGCCCTGCGGCGTGGCCCGTCGATTTATCGTGTAAATCCGCAAATTGTGTGAAACTGTGAAAAGAAAATTGCACGCGCGACTCCGCCGGCTTTCGATCGACTGCCGTTTGCCCTTCGGGTGAAAACAATTGATTTTTCATTCAGTAGAAAGTGAATGGTTCGCGAAATTTTATATGAGTAATTGCATAATTAGAGGAAGGTAATTTAGTTATTTGCTCGCGGTGGTTCAAATATTTGAGCGCTGCATTTATTTGTAAGACAATGGCTGCATCAATACTTATTCATTTACATGGAGCGTGGTTTATTATTAGGTCTTTTATTACTGAAACTATGATCTACTGCATTTATTTGTATCCGATGATCCTATTATATCTAAATGTACGTAAAATGTCGTTGGAATTAATAGTCATCTTTTCTATTTTCAGGCCCGTGAGACAGATCACCACCCTCCGGGAGAAGGCACAGAAGATCGCCAGAACCGAAAATGTGACCACCGACCGTCCGAATCAAACCAAAACTCGCTTCAAATTCATGAGTCTTGCCTCAAGATTACATGATTCATTACTCTATTTATTGAACTTAACTTTAATCAACGAATCTAGTCGCCATAGCACTATTTAAAACCCGATGCAATTTATACTATAAGAGCATAAAGTCGAAAAGAAAATAACACGTAGTAGTACAAAGAGAAAGGAAATAAATTGATGAGACAGTACAAACGATGAGTGGGAACGCTATCGTCGATTTAATACTAAATTGATTTACTTAGAAGTTCCCTGAAAGCAGTCAAAATGTCTACAAGTAAGTAGCTTTTATCTTTAAGAATAAGTACTTATTTGTTAAGTTTAAGTGTGAATTGTGGAAAAAGCCAGACCAAATTAATTGCAGTATGGTTTGCAAAGTCTATTGTATATAAGATTACGTTCAGGCAGACATTGTTAAGAAAAAAAAGCGTACTTTTCAATCTAAATACTTGGGCCAAAAATAGTAATAATAAAATACAATTAAAGAACTAAGAAACATTTGTCAAAATTACTAGAGTTCTGAAACCTGCCCGTATTAAAAGTTACTAGAGTTCTGAAACGTGCCCGTATCAAAAGTTCCTAGAGTTCTGAAACGTGCCCGTATCAAAAGTTACTATAATTCTGAAACGTCAAATACGGGCACGTTTCAGAACTCTAGCAACTTTTGACAATATGTTTCTTGATGAGAACGAGAATACAGGGTATGCAGCAATGTGTACGCCATTTTGAAATTCTAATGAAACAAGGGTTTTTAGGTAGTTACTAATTGTATAAGACAGTCTTTTTTTATTTGACCATCATCTATTATTTAAATTACTTTATTTCAATACTATATAATGATAATGTCAACATAAAACTGTAGCTTCATGAATGAAAGTAAAAAAAATGTTACGTTAGGTTTTATGGAAAACGCACATTTCAGCAAAAATTATGTTATACCAAAATAACTCTCTTATACTAAAAAACCGGCTTTAAAATTACGTAGAATTACATATAATTACCAAGTTTTATTGAAATCGGTTACCGGAGAGTGCGCAAACCCGGATTCATCCCCTAGTTCGCTACTATACGGGATTTGACACCGGAGATAATAAAAATCTGTTCTCACTAGTCAAAGTATATTGAGAGAAGAACGCCTTGAATTGGAGAATAGCAAAATCAACCATTATAATAATTGCTCCCTATAATAAAATTTAGGCACTATTTGTAAAAATGAATGCGTGAACAGCCACCCTTAGAGCTGGATGATTTTCTTCAAAATTAAATAGGACGACTATGGAGGTACCCTCTTTCCAACAAAAAAGAATCATGAAAATCGGCTAACAAATACCGGAGTTATCGCGTAACATACATACAAAAAACATACAGTCGAATTGAGAAACTCCTCCTTTTTTTGAAGTCGGTTAAAAACGACCTAAAGTAGAGAGTTTTTCTGACTTTGCTATTGTTATCTTCGTTATCATAATATCGTAGTTAATAAAAACCACATGTATAATATTTTTTAGTATTTTCTTATACCATTTGAAAAAGTTAGTCGTTGTTGAAGTGAGCGCGGTGAGGTCGGTTTACTCAACGAGTGGACGATAACTATGTAGGTAGTTTCTATACTTTTCCTTTGCAGGTTTCGAGCACTCGGCGATGAAAAGCAGCTTCTCGTTGTCGTCGCTGCGCAGTGCGCCAGCGCCTCCCGGCGGCCATTACGAGCCTCTCGAGCGGCCATACCATAGCCTAACTAAAAAGAGGTTAGCAAATGTATAGTATACACACAACATTTATTTATTTATTAAAACTTTATTGCACACAAAACAGTACAAATGGCGGACTTAGTGCCATTAGGCATTCTCTACCAGTTAACCGGAGACTTCGGTTCAAAATAATTAATAAGGGTGCACAATATGATAATTAAAAACAGATAGGAACTAGTTTATAAATAATTATGATATATAGTTTAAACACAATATAAATATAACATATAATATTATATGACTCACTATATACTTATATAAACAACCTATATACACATAAATTACACATAAATATATAATATGTTAACATTACATTAGTTTAAGGAGCGTTTGACTAATTTGATTATCTAAGACGATAATTTGAATTATTCTTTTGTTGTTTGTAGATTTACAATGGGAACAAAATATTAGTTTTGCCTTCAATCGATAGTTAAGTGTGTATGCGCAGTTCTGCCCTCACATATGAACTGTATCGCTCATGAATTACATTCAATCAACACACGTTTCATCGTAAGCATTGAATGGTCAACCAGGTCGAAGATCTCTGAAAGGCTGAAGTAGAGAACTGCGACCTCATCATGCATACACCATCATTGTGTTTTATATACAAATAGACATTCGATGAAATAATATTATTTTGGCGGGTACGCTGTGAATTCGAAACGATATTGGTGTGTGACGTTGTTACCTCGCCTCTCTTGGGACTAACGCAGAAACCAGTTGGAGAAGCGCACTCGCTGAGGCCACACAGTCAGCGAGTTGAACTTGTTGAATATTTCCGGTTGTAAGTGAAGCATGGCGATCTGTTTTTAATATGTCTTTGTCAACATTGTATTGGTCGCGTGATTGTGATTTGTTCAGAAACTTTAAACCATTTCAGGCGTAGTGGTAGGAGAGACCAAGCTTATGTTTTCTCCGGCTCTAATCATTCATTCTTTTCTGTTCCTATTTCAAATTAAAGAAAGAAAAAGAAATTGTTATTTCATTGCATACCTTTTTCTAGTCTAAATTCTCTTCGTATTCTACCAAAAAACTAGTTCAGTGCTCTAGAAAAATAATCGCTGGTTTCGTGGCCAATGTAGAATTTTGTGCAGGCAGACAGTAGATTCGTAGTGACGAAAGATGCCGTGGTATATAGTGTTTTCGTGCCACCCTTGGAGTATGAAATAACAGAAAAATATTATTCCAATGTCGATTTTTTTAGTTCTTGCAATACGCATACGTATCTCAATGGGCATTCTGCAGCGAACTTATCAAGCACCTAGTGTCTTTGTAACAGAACCGAGGTTATACGATTGAGTCAGTGTTTTAATGGTTTGTGATTGTTGTATTAAAAGTGTAATTATAACCTTTAGCAATTCGCAAACTTGTACTTTCGATGAACTTGTATGCCATTTTAACGCGTTTAAATTATAAATGGCAGGCCACTATCGTACCCGCAGTTGCATCCTCTCTACTCGTACACATAATGTGAACCATATATATTATTTACATATTTATATGGTGGTGCAAAAGTTTCCCAAATTTTTTGACTCACCGCCCACTTAGGCAAGACAAAAAAATTTCAACGCCCTCCACCACGATAAACATTGTACGTATTTTTTATATTAATTTAACACAAAAAAAAAATAACAACGAATAAATTTTATACATTTTATTATGTATTGTAGTTTTTATAGATAAATAAGGTTGACAAAAGGGAAGAAAATGTAATACTTAAATTGTAACATTCTAACATGGTCCATGCCTATAAGATCCCTCTTTGTACTATTCATGATAAAATCAATAAATAAATGAAGTCCACCGCGATGAACGGCTTCCGTATGTGTGTAAATAAGAAAGATTACGAAAAATATGTTTGTAGGAAGGAGCCGTGTCGCGAGGCGTGGCGGCGCAGCTGGGGATCGGCGGCGAGCGGCGGCAGCGCCGGCGACGACCTGTGGCCGCTGCTACAGCACCACTACGACTACATCATGGATAACCAGATAATCGACACTTGTAAGGTGAGCTCTCTCTTCTTTCCCTTAATAGACAGAAAAATGCTAGGAATTACCACCGTACTGGTTCTATTCTTGGTAGGTGACTGTAATCCTCGCTGAACATTTGAAATACCATGTAAGCTTTTACAATAAAGCTGTGATATCCAAAAGTTCTCTCAAAGTCGCCATATTGCACAACATGTACAGAAACCGGAAGTACCTAACTTACTTTAAGTATTCGTAAGTATTACCAGTATTGCTATTACCAGTTTACAATTAGCTTCTAATTCGTTTCAGGAGGCAAACGGCGAGTTGTTGTCGCACAACTCGTCCGCTTTGCATTGCCCGCGTCTGCTCAACCCGACCATCGGGTTCAATCGCCAATGGTCGCTCAATCAGCTTATTGCCGAGTTCACCGAACTCTGCCAGTGGCTGACACATGTGCAAGAAGAGATTTATTCTAGTCCCGAAAATCTGTCCAGTAGGAAATTGAGAATGGTACGTACCGTATTTATAACAAATAAAACTAAGCTACTACTGTAAAGATACCTACTGGGTGACGAAATACTTTCATACATTTCTCCACCACGCCATGGCGCCACGACTAAAAAATCATTGAAAACTAAATACAATGATCCGACGACAAGCACATAAAAACTTCGTGAGGTCCGCTGGGTCGTTTTGAGGCTTAGTGGGTATAGCGTCTGGCTTTGCTAGGAGCTGTTCGGTTCGAATCCGGCCGGATGGAAGGATTTTTTCTAAATGTTCGATCTTTGTATTAATAATTATAAGAAACTAGTGGAGTAATTTCAACAAAAAAATAATTGAATATCATGGTGGTGAAACATTCTAACATTCAATAAAAATTTAAATAAAACTACTACAAATGGCGAACTCTAATAAGACAATAAAGTCTCCATCTGTGTACCAGCGAGTCAACGAGTACTAACTCAGTGAGTCTACTTATAATGAACTTAGGTCCTTTGTCCACCTTCCTGCTCCATCATCAGATCCTAGTCACATCTGTAAGTCAACTACTCATCGAGACCCATTCAATGAGACCGCGATATTTCTGCTGTAAATAGCTGAGTCTACAGACTGTACTTATTGCAGTGTTATCTATATTATTGCAGTGTTATCGGATCCAAATTTCAAGTGGAAGAAAGTGAACATTTATTTTATAGCTTAAATTCCTAATAGAGCTGATGATCTTGAAACAACTTCGCAGATGTTAATCAAACATAGCTAAAGAACCATCCCGATTAAATTAACCATCAGATGTAAAAATCGCACCTCTACTAGAGGTGGTTGATAAATAACGTCACGATGAAAAAATCACGATGATCCGCCCCCAAACAGTATCACCGTGACCCGTTCCGAAGGAACGACGTTCCAAAATCACATAGGTGTTCCTCCGTTCCAACAGCTATCCCCGTCACTCACATCACGACATACGTATTTGACACAATGCGCGATCTCCGTTCCGTGGTGACTGAGCGCGCCACTCGTTGTAGTTCTCTTCAAATCGGGCCATTTCGGCGATGGGAGTGAATGAAATAGGATGACTTTCTTTGCTCACTCACAAGGGTCGTAGGTGCTTGTTACTACTAGAAAGGGCGGATGAAAAAAATCTGCAGCAGTTATTATAAACCTGTTCATGAACAAAGTAAAATATTTTTGTATATTTGTTTTATTGTAGGAAGAGTTGGTATTTTATATTTATGTATAATCTACTTTGTGTATTCTACTAGAAATATAATTACATTACACTTTATTGCTATTTTTAACAATCCAAAGATTCGCATTAAATAAGTAACAAACAAAATTACATTAAATACAAAATCAACTTTTTGAATGGAATTAAAACTTATTACAAAGGGAGTAAAAACTTAAATCATTATATTGAAAACGGCTATAAGTATTAGAAAGAAGCCGCTGGCTAAAACCATATATCGTGATGTAAGTTATAGGCGTGACAAGGTCACGGAAGTAACAGTCGTGACAAAATCACGATGATTTATCACTGTGACTTTTTTGGAACCGGAACGACAGTCACGGCGATAGAAATGTAACGCTATTCCCCATATCTAACCTCTACCATAGATTACTGTGACAGTTGTCGCTAGTGATCGCGTAAAATATTTTACAATTTTATATGACAAATTGTACAGCGCCCTCTAGTGGTCATAAGAAGTAATAATATTTTGCTTATAAATATTTTACGCGGTCGCTAGCGACAAATGTGACTATATACCAGGGTTTGTCAACCTTTTCCTAGTTATGGACCCATCTCAAAATTTCAAAGGCCCTTTCTAAAAAAATGAAGAAGAAGAAACGCTCGTGCGTTGCATTGACGCGCATCTCGCACGCTCCAATAATGGATGGCCATCAAAGGGCGCGAAAATTCAAAAAGGTCTCACAACATATAGTATATACATTTTTATATTAATGCATTATATTAGGTAAGCTTCTTATGGACCCCTGCTGTTCATTTCATTGTTTCAGGGGTCCAGGGACCACAGGTTAAAAACCTTGCTATAAACTAGTAAAGATACAATCTATAACTATGGGAGCTACGATGTCACATAGTCAGACACACAGATACACAAACAAAAGCGTCAAACTAGATATACTCTCCTTTTGCGTCTGGGGCTAACAGCAGACCCTAGCTAATAGTAATTCGATTACAATTACAAAAAAAACATACTTTACAAAGCTAAACGTGGTCATAATTTTCTCTAGCAAAATTACCATTACAAACCATTCCAATCTTAACGATGTAGTCAGTAGTAATTGACAATGTTATTTTGGTGTAATTTAAAACACGCGGTGCATATAGAATTATTCTTAAATAATCACATACATAGAGTGTAATTGTATAAATACTGGTCTCGAAATCTGTCCAATATTAACTTAAAAAGATATATTGTAAAAGTTGCTCAAATGCCTCAGTAGACCATTTTATCGAGCTCTGTCAATGGCTCGTGTGTAGGAGGAACTCCGAGCGTTCTAATCCCAAGAGTATTGTGGTGTAATAGGAAGTTGAGAATCTTCATATTAATCACTATAACGTGGCTCGCATCCATCTGACGCACATTAGTGCGTAGACAGGTCTGCGGAATTTTCTTCTGTCCATTTACGCATTCCATTTTTCGTCTGCGGTGCCGTTCACATTTGTGTCGTTTCCTGTAGCATGTGTGTCGTGCTACCAACTTTTTGAACTGGTGCTACAGTCACCTTTCCACCATCGCACCTCCCGACAAAGGAGTCCATTCCCACATCCTTGATGCCTGGCATTCTAAGACCATGCTGACATCACGTAAGTTCCTTCCTCGAACGTGTAAGATGTGGAATGATCTCCCTCTTGAAGTATTTCCTTTAGAGCTATGATATGAGGTTCTTCAAAAAGCGAGTCTAAAGGGCTCTGAAAGACTGGCAACGCGCAGACAGCTCTTTTTATGTTGCGACTATTGGAGAGGGATCACGTATGAAAGCTGAGTACGATCGAATGTCTTAGCCAGTTACAACCAAATCCATAGATAGAATGCACTATATTATAATATAATAAGCAGCCTAAATTGGACCCAATCTGTTCTTTTCGCAGAGTCGCATGTCGGAGCTGGTGTCAGTGGAGCCCCGCCGCGCCAAATTTATCGAACAAGCCACCGCCATATTAGAACGCATCCCAGAAGCCAGTGCTGAGGTAAATATGAGAGATTTTATTCAGAAAACCCCCTTATCGACTTTTATTATATGGGATATTTTAGGTATTAATATTATTGTTCAAGAATGAATATAGTATCCTCATTAAATGGCAACATAAGCTTAGGAAGTTCTATTAGCGGTTACACTAAACCGGTAATAGTATTAAAAGGCACAGCCATAGGTGCATTCATTCATGTTCATGACTTTTATCAAATCAGTGAAAAAGTAATCAATGATTTTCCTGTGTAACTATCTTGGTAACATTACAAAGTGGCATAATTTTGTTTCCGCAATTCCTCATTTGGGCATTAGACAGCCATTTTGTTTTTACAATAATTTTGTTTAAATTTAAGAGAGCAATTTACTTGATGTCTGGTAACATACTCCAATGGCGAGGCATGTGATATTTTGGGTAAACACAGAACCTAAAAACCACCAAAAAATAAAAGAACGACCACACATATACCCTGTCGACTCCTCGGAGAGTGGCTGAAGTTTATTATTATATCCGGTTAAGTACACACATAAAATATTCTTATACCTCAGAGGATCATGCGATAATCCCTGCCAATGTCAGAGTTTATCTACAGGTTTATGTGTTGTGTAGCCAAATATATGTACAGGGGGCCTATGAGCTTATAAGCAACCAGGCAAGGTCCATGCAATTCACTTGACGCGGTAAAACTTAATTGCTTAAATTCGTAGAAAGAACAGAAAGTTACTCCGTGACTGTTTCTTTTTTTTTAAATTTCATTTAATTTTTATTATATTTCCAGTTTCATATTCCAATTATTTTTTTAGGCTATGTAGCTAATTGTCAATAAATAAATACTATTAACTGTTGAATTTTTTTGAATAGTTTAGTTCGAGTTTCCCAGAGTATTGTTGGTAAATTATTAACATGAATGTAATTGCAATTTTTAAATTGTATTTTAATAATTTTATTGACTTAGCGAAAATAACTTTTAAATAGTGCCAAAGACTTTACCCGACTTTAGACATTAGTCAATGAAATGGTACGAATACAAGATACATTCCAATACGTTATCAAATTACAAACTCACCTTATTAATTTCGATGATAATGACTAGACATGATATGTAATTTTGTCTTACGACAAATTGTAAGGTATGTCTGAAAAGTTGCCGATATTGCAATATAACACAAAAGGATAATCAATAATAAAATTATTAAAAAAATATAATTATTCACATCTTGAACACAATTGGTTAATAGTGCTCGAACGCTCCCAGTGTAGTACATCTGTCTATTTCTTTCATATGATTTAGAATATAGTTCCATACTATAATTAGTAGTATATAGTAGAGTATAATTAATGTTTAAAAATAAAACTCGTCAACTTTATGTACGTCATGATACGAATTTATATTAAGTAATTTAGTTTTACCACGTTAAGTGAATTGCATGGAACTTGGCTGGTTGCTTATAAGCTCATAGTAGGTCCCCAGAACCAATTACGGATAAACTAACAAAAATTAAATAACAACTAAAAAAATTTGCATCGTGCTTTATAACATGACAAAATAGCTGTTTTAATTTTATACATGTTTATTATTATTGGGAGGGTGAAAAATATTTTTGCTAATTGAATATGCGTGAACATTTGTTCAGGGTCACCTCACGATATTTCATTCGTATTTACTTACACCTGTATAAACGTCTTCAGTAAAAATGTTACATTATAAAATTATTATTTCGGTTTCCTTAGGCAGCGAAATGTAAGGTAGCTTAAGGCAGGAAACGTGGGACGTTTTATTATCAATAGTGCAAATGGTAGTGAACAACACAATAACATATTTTCATTAGCCGGTCTATTTTAGTTTTGAAATCAATCATCTACGACCACTGTCGAAATTCGTTATGATGCTATAGTGTCGTAATGGTGTTAGAGAAATCACAGAGCGCCTTAAATCCTTCCATTCTTAAAGCGCATTTCCCTGCAGGTGACTTGGCGTGTGGAGCATTTGAACGTGAAGTGGGAGGGTCTCCGCCTTCTACTCAGCCCTGAGCAGAAGCACAAAGATGGAGAATCAGCTGACACTGTTGGCGAGTATCCTTCAAAAAATAAAAATAACATCAAAAACTGTAACGATTTTCTTTATCCTTCATGAAAGTTAATTTGAAATGGAAGATTATTACATAACAATCTTGCAAAAATAAATATATCATCAAGAAGTAATTCATAAAAACCAGTTAAAGGGTGTCGAACATATTCGTGATCGAGATAGTGAGTGCGCAGTACGCGTTTAAACGAATATGATTCCAAGTACATATTTGGTTTTGGGGTAGATTTTTATAATTTTTTTTGCTCTCTTTAAATAAGCGTGCAAGCTATATACTACATAGATATTGTTGCGTGTTGTAGACGTTGCGTGTATTGACAATTGTAGCTAATAAGGAAGCCATTACTTTCGCCATCTGTAGGTATTTGTAATAAAAATTTCGTAAGGTAACTTAGCTGTTGGTTGACGTGTGTGTGGATTGAGTGAGCACCCCCTGTAAAATGTTTAAAATGTGTTAGTCATTTAGTAAAAGTACTAAAACAATTGTAGAAACCAATCTTTCTATTTTTAAAAAGATAAAACAAGAGAAAAATAACTTAATGTGAGCATACAGTTCTCACAGAGGACCAGTCAAATCTACAAAAGTATTAAGTTTACATATAATATTATTGTACTAGTTTTTAGTAAAAGTTTAGTTAAACTATTGTTTACAGATCGATTAGTGCCTTTTTCAATGTTTTACAGATATTTTGTTATGCTCACTCAATCCGCACGTTTTTAAAAGGAACGATTTCTTAAGAACCGAATAAGTGAATTAAATTTCGTTTATGTTTAGATTTAGTAAAAGTTACATATGAATTTGTAAAATATGAAACAAGCCACTAATGGGAAACGTTTTTGAATAATAATTATTTTTAAGTGCTCACTCAATCCTCCAATTTCTGAAAAGTAACGAACATTAATTTCTTTGGATTTGTAAGTATTACACAGATTATAATTGATAACGTTTTAGTAGTAATTTTCTACTAAATATCTGCCGTTTCAGATCTCGTTTTGATTATTTAATTAGAAAGATATTCGTTTTTTATTATATGTATGAAAATGTATAATGCAAGGTGACCACACGTTATAAAAATGCCAATATGAACTTGTAATTTAGGTACCTATGTATATTCTAAGCCTATGTATTAATATGAAGTGTTAATTATTGAGTATACTTACGTTATAGCCATCGTAACAACTTTCTTATCATTCAAACGAACAAATACGGGCTCAGACTCCATTATTATATTATTTAGTTGTTTATTGAATATTGGCTACAGAGCAACCGCTAACGAATACTTGAGAACTCAAATCGTAACATAAATAATAAAAAGTAATTCGTATAAGAACTGTAACTACAAATTCGCGCCAATTTTTTTCACTCATACTTATTTTTATGATGTGTATGTACATACTGCCTATAGTTTTGTAAATAACTACCATTAATAATAATAATAATAATGTATATGTGCGTGTGCGTGTAACTGAATATCCCACTTTTTTCTTGAGTCGAAATTTTGCGTCGTTACGATTTTTTTTAAAATTTATTGCTGGCCATGGAAACAAAGTCCTTCAGCCGAAAACATAAACGTTTAATTATATTTCTGTAAATATGGCCACCACAAAGAGGATACACAAAGTCAATAGCCTTTTAGTGACCACGTTCTTACATTCAAACTTGTTTAGAGGATAAATATGCAATTCACCATTACATCCGTTATATAACAAGGGCCCGAGGAAGGGCATTATTTTTTTAGTGTTATGTGTATGTACATACATACTGCTTATAGTTTTGTAAATATCATTAATAATAATGATGTGTATGTTATTGTGCGTGTGTTTAAGTACCCTAGGATTTCTTTTCTTGACTCGAAATTTTGCACTGTTAAGATTATCGTCGTATAGTCCAAGGCCGCGTAAGTAACTTTTGTAAAAGGCGTGTCTACATAAAACCAAATTTTACAGGAGAAGGTTTTAACGTTATTATTTTGTTATTGCAATTGCTAAGACTTTCATTTTTGCACAGGGAGCATTAATTTATGTTGGCTACGGACTGCTAATAATAGATTCCCGTAAATCTTGTTCATTTACTTGTCATTTACGCGGATCTGATTTGGCCGCGAACTGAGTAAGTTACGCGATATTGAAATCAAAGGCATATTGTTATTCACCGATTTCTGGCTTTTTGTTAGTCAATCGCAACTGGCGTTAAGAAGGCAGGTCCCAATCATTTAACTACGTGCACGCAAAACTCAAAATGGCGACATGTTTTAGATACGCGGAATTCTCCAATACTAGTTACACGTAATTGCACTATGCCCTACGATATGTATGGTGTTGACCCAAAATCGAATCGCTGCTCTATAGTTTTAAATAAATAATATATAATAATATAATAAAGAGCTGTACAAACAGACTAAAGAAAATTGTCAAGTAGCCAACTGCTCACTAGCATTAGCGGCCGTAATTGCGCGGACTTAAAAAGAAAATATAATGTATATGGTATTACTTATTTACCATACAGCCTTTTCATAATATTACGTTATGGTGCTCAGTATTATATGAAGAGGTTGTATGGTAGAACCTTAGCCTTCTTAAATAGATGGGTAAAAACTTATGAAAAAAATAAAATGCACGATTATACTTACACCAAATACATAAAAAAGGCGGTAAAATAAACGAAAGTACTTTGAGGTCTTTTTTTTTATTCTATTTTATGTATTGTTTATATTCTTCGCGAAAATGAGTTCTACAACAAACTAGTGGAGTAATTTCAATTCAAAGTACTTTCGTTTATTTTATCGATTCTTTTACATGGTGAGGTATATTCGTATTTCACATTTTTTCTTCATAAGTTTTTACGTACATACAGCCTCTTTATATATTACCGTGCACGGTAATTAAACGCACAATAAGATAGACCACACACATTTTTTTTAAATTCACTCAATTATGGGCTGATACTAGTGAACATTTGGCTGTATGACAGTTTTTTCTTTAATCTGTTTACATAGACTTAGCTCTTTGTTAGTTTTTTAAAAGTTTAGCAGCGATTCGATTTTAGGGCAACACCTTACGTATTCGTAACGACGCGGATTCGCTCTGGGCCTTTTGGAGGGAAAAGTGTCGTTTTTATTTTGACTTTCAATTATTTTGTGAAATCTAGTTTAAAGTGGAATAGGATAGTGCTATTGTGCCTTAATCGAAGATTAAAACGCGAAATTATACGAATCTCGAATTAAAATACCCGTATCGGCCCGTTCTAAGGAATCCCGAGTCCATCCAAGCACGCCGCCTCAAATTGCCTATCCTCTTTGTGGTGGCCATATTTACAGAAATATAATTAAACGTTTATGTTTTCGGCTGAAGGACTTTGTTTCCATGGCCAGCAATAAATTTTAAAAAAAATCGTAACGACGCAAAATTTCGACTCAAGAAAAAAGTAGGATATTCAGTTACACGCACACGCACATATACATTATTATTATTATTATTAATGGTAGTTATTTACAAAACTATAGGCAGTATGTACATACACATCATAAAAATAAGTATGAGTGAAAAAAATTGGCGCGAATTTGTAGTTACAGTTCTTATACGAATTACTTTTTATTATTTATGTTACGATTTGAGTTCTCAAGTATTCGTTAGCGGTTGCTCTGTAGCCAATATTCAATAAACAACTAAATAATATAATAATGGAGTCTGAGCCCGTATTTGTTCGTTTGAATGATAAGAAAGTTGTTATGATGACTAAAACGTAAGTATACTCAATAATTAACACTTCATATTAATACATAGGTACCTAAATTACAAGTTCATTTTGGCATTTTCATAACGTGGTATGAACCTTGCATTATACATTTTCATATATATAATAAAAAACGAATATCTTTCTAATTAAATAATCAAAACGAAATCTGAAACGGCAGATATTTAGTAGTAAATTACTACTAAAACTTTACCTATCTCTGTAATACTTACAAATCCAAAGATATTGACGTTTGTTGCTTTACTTTTGTGTATCTTAACAGTGCAAAATTTCGAGTCAAGTAAAGAAATCCTAGGATACTTAAACACACGCACAATAACATACACATCATTATTATTAATGATATTTACAAAACTATAGGCAGTATGTACATACACATAACACTAAAAAAATAATGAGTGAAAAAAATTGGCGCGAATTTGTAGTTACAGCTTATAAACGAATTACTTATGTTTACTTTAATTACTTATATATATTTTTATTATTTATGTTACCATTTGAGTTCTCAAGTATTCGTTAGCGGTGGCTCTATTCAATATAGCCAATATTCAATTAACACCTAAATAATATAATAATGGAGTCTGAGCCCATATTTGTTCGTTTGAATGATAATTAAGTTGTTACGATGGCTATAACGTAAGTATACTCAATAATTAACACTTCATATTAATACATAGGCTTAGAATATACATAGGTACCTAAATTACAAGTTCATATTGGCATTTTTATAACGTGTGGTCACCTTGCATTATACATTTTCATACATATAATGAAAAACGAATATCTTTCTAATTAAATAATCAAAACGAAATCTGAAACGGCAGATATTTAGTAGTAAATTACTACTAAAACTTTACCTATCTCTGTAATACTTACAAATCCAAAGATATTGACGTTTGTTACTTTTCGGAAATTGGAGGATTGAGTGAGCACTTAAAAATAATTATTATTCAAAAACGTTTGACATTAGTGGCTTGTTTTATATTTTACAAATTCATGTGTAACTTTTCTAAATCTAGAACATAACCGAAATTTAATTCACTTATTTGGTTCTTAAGAAATCGTTCCTTTTAAAAACGTGCGGATTGAGTGAGCATAACAAAGTATTTGTAAAAAATTGAAAAAGGCACTAATCGATCTGTAATTAAAAACGATAGTTTAACTAAACTTTTACTAAAAACTAGTACAATAATATTATATGTACACTTAATACTTTTGTAGATCTGACTGGCCCTCTGTGAGAACTGAGTGAGCCACACATTAAGTTATTTTTCTCTTGTTTTATCTTTTTACAAATAGAAAGATTGGTTTCTACAATTGTTTTAGTACTTTTTCAAAATGACTAACACATTTTAAACATTTTACAGAGGGTGCTCACTCAATCCACACCCACGTGTTGGTTAGAAGGAATGTTTCACATTCTTGTTAGCAACAGTCTGTCATATTTTTGCTAGATGGCGGTTTAACTATCTTCCGATGGCGCTGTCAGTGTTGTTTGTTTAAAGTTCTGCTCCTCGCCGATAGATGGCACGGAGTAATACTAATGTTCAATGTTTTATTTCGATTAAATTTCTATCTTCTGTTTAACAGACACAACACATGAACTTCGTTGTCTTCGTCGATGGCTCCACGGCATGGAGGGCCGGCTACCACCGCCGTCGTTGGCTGCTGCCAGGGCCGCGCCATACCACGAACTGTTAAGAAAGCTGAGAGAGCACCAGGTGCGTGACATTTTGCGTAATTACTAATTTTAGTTATTTGGGTATCTACAGACGAAGATAAAGTTCACAATTGGTTCACATGTGGTATTAAGCTTCCGCTATATTGTATTATTTGCTTCTAGGCGCTTAAACGACTGGGATCGGAAATACATATTATAAAACTTGACACGAAAGGCGATTAACTCCAAGGTATTTAATATGTGCTATCATACCTATCGATCTTACCTACAGTCCTATTCTGATACTATGGTACTCGTGTTGGTTTCGTCGTTCACACGAACTCTAATAAGCGTAGATCAACAACAGTATATTGCAGCGCGGCGTCCATTGCTCGTCGTTTTGTCGCGTTTCGTGAGGTGCGCTGCACGCTCTAATGCCGTTATAAATCAGCCCGCGATGGAGAGATGCCCTTAATTAGCTTCGACAGTTCGTGACTGCCGCCGCTTTGTTAAACACCACTATGATCTATGCTGGGATTTATCTGCCAGATGAACCACATGTAAATAACACTATACAGTTTAACTAAAAGGACTTACCTAGATTAAAGCTGCACAAAAGTACAAAAGTGAAGTTAATAACAATCTTTATTTTTTTTTAGAAAAAAAAATTACCTTATGAAAAATTCATTTCATCGCGTTAGCTCAAATAAGTAAACAGGTCTAAGGTTATAAGTGTTCTGTAGTGATCAGCGCTGGTAAGATAGCAATTAAATTCTTAACTCAGGGTAAATTTTGAAGCTGGAAGGAAATTAATTTAGCTAAAGTTTGCGTAAAATGTATATAAGCATTATCTGGTAATATTGTATTTATCCTATTGAAAACTCAAACAAAAATTTAGTACCGTTAGGTGTTATTTTTACTACCCAAAAGCGTTCGATCCCGAGTCAAAGTGTCAATTTATTGCTTATAGTTATTCAAAGGTCATCGCGAAGATCTTTGAACAAATTGCAGTTTATCTGATACTTATTTATAACTTGATTGACTAATGCTGCCAATCGGTTTTGCTGCTGACTTTCTAGCTCAGGTCACACGGCGTCGGAATTAACCCTCGATAGACAATTTGTGCGACATGGCTATCTGTAATCTAGAACTATGGTCGTTGAATAATACCTTTGTGGAGATAATCGTGAGTTATTGGTGCTGCTCGTAGGTTAAACCGACGCCGTACTCACCTATTAAAGTCTAACCTATCTTTATTGCTTGCACGGCTAATGGACTGTTCCGCAACGGAGTATTCCGTTGTCTGTTTCACTCGAGATACTTCATGCACGTTTAGATATTACTTAGTTTTTTTATGGGTCGTTTTTTACAGGGTTATTTGTAAAATACTAACAACCTCCCAGGACTATAGTACTAACATTTTAAATAGCAACTTTTGTTCCACGACTGTTAATAATTCATCAAATTTTACTTTAATACAAAAATAAAAATATTTAAATAGATCACTTTAAGTGGTGACATAGCACAATTGTAAGTTTGCATTATCTGCTTTATTATTAAATACAGATCTAAGTGTCGTATTCCAGAACTCTACTCAATGCTCAAGTCAGGATTTGAGCGGACTTGAGTATGATTTCAAACACTGGAAATACCCCTAATATATAATATAATATAACGCACACACTCAACATAGCCCCGCACTAGGGAAACCCTGTGTCGCGGGTGTCATGGACACACACATAGACAACCACAAATTACACCCAAATTCACGAGAGAAATAAATGTAGACCATACACATATTTCTCCCGGCCTGGGAATCGAACCCAGGACCTCTGCATGGCAGTCCGGCATGGTAACCGTTCGGCCACGGAGGCAGTTGCACGGAGCAGTAATGGCAAGGACTTGAGTATGATTTTCAGTGCTCACTGCAATACTCAAGTCCTGACTTCAGTATTGAGTAGAGTTCTGGAATACGACCCTTAGAGTGGTTACACACGGCGATTTTTAGTAGCGATGCAGTCGCTAATCGTCTACCTTTACACACACGTGCGATTTTAAGCAGCGTTGCAAACGCGATGCAAGCGTGCGACTGCATTTATACGAACGCGCGATTGCATCGCTACATTTGGAACTTATAGGCGATGATCGATGCAGTCGCGCGTTTGTATCGATGCAGGCGCGCAGTAAAAAGTCGCCATGAGTAATTCTTAAAGTACAAAAAAAAAATAATTTACAAAAAGTTTATTTTCAGTAAGTTTGTTATGTTTTATAGAAAGTCATGAAATAAAAGTTGTTGTTTATGATGTTAGTAATACAGTCCTGGGAGGTTGTTAGTGTTTATAAATATCCCTGTATATAACTTATTATTATTTACTTTCCCCACACATACATCTACGCGCGGATTTTGCAACTGTGTAACTTTTTAAGTCAGCGAAAAACAAAACCAAAACACAATAATAGGGCTAATTATATTCAAAGTGATAAACGTAAATTTTACCGATTTTATCTTTGATGATCTCCGTGCGGGGAAATTCCGAGTAAAAGTTTTATGTATAATATTTTTACGAGTGCGCCATATTGGGTCAAACGTTTACGGCCAAGTCCCAAAAAAGGTCAGCGTTACAGAGATTTTATAAACAGCGAGTTAATGGCTTCGCTCAAAGGAATAATATTTTCGGCCGCGTATAGAACCTTGCATACATTAGTAACTATCATAATGTAAAAGTGTAATGCTCAAATAAACGTATGTCTAATACCTTCACCAATTACTGCAGCCGAATTTCTCTAAGGATTTTCTCAAATCAATCAATGACTTGCAAAACTGCTTAATTAAGAGCAGAAGTAAACGAGTAACAGGTACTTAAAGTACTGTAACCACTTTGGTACTTTCAAAAACTTTCGTCTTTCCTCATTGAAGGAGTCATTAGGAGCTAGCCGTTTTCTAATGGAATAATTATGCATTAATTTATTGGCCGAAGCTCATTAAAAGCTAGCGTATGTAATAGTGATGGCTTAAATGGAAGTCTTATATGACTGTTAAGACTTTTATAGCTACGAAAATTATCTTAAAAATAAAGCGGATGATCGATGTATGTCTTGTGATATCAATCGACGCCGTGTTTAGTGCACTGAAGTATGAGACGCCTCTGATGGCACAATGTTTAGACAAATACACACATCAAAAGTATCTAGGTATCAAGCAGGATCAGGAATTAACAATTACTGAAAATCAGGTTTTTCGATTTTAGTAGTAGTGGAGCTCCTTACCTATTTCTGCCGCCAAGCAATAATGTCAGCGTTACCGTGTTCCGGTTTTGAAGGATAAGGGTGCTGGGTGAAATTACAGGCATATGGACCTTGTCAACTATGTCTCAGAGTGTCGGGCGCAGTGGTGGTGCCCCTCAGATCTCTGATCTTTTATGGACAGGCGTGTGGCTTACCATCAGGCGTACGACTTGTTTGTCCCATCACTTAATATTATAAAAATAAATATTTATTTTTAACACCAAGGATCTTTTTTTTGGTCAATTTCATTTTCAAATTCAAATTATAAAATTAGTCAAAAAATATCCTATAGTTATTATTTATACTAGTGGTCATATCCTTGACACTGTATTTTAAATAGTAATACTGTGACATTGATAATATGAAATAATGAATGATGTCAGTCTATTCTGATCTATCCGCTTATCATTTTTCTAATACTCCCATAATATTCCACTTACATGAAAATCCCAAGTTAAACAACTTTATACTTTGTTGGTAGAATGTATTAATTATGAAGCTACATTGTAGTCGGAATACACCACAAAAATAGAATTCTTATAAGGAAGGACTAGAAACTTCATTATTTAAATCTTACATCGCATTATAGCTGTTAGGTGTTGAATGAATAAGGAGCAGCAGTAAATAGCAATTAGGTCCAAGCAGAAAATGTTACGGTGGCAGTTCTGCTAACTTTATATTGTTATACAACACTTCCCGGGTATTCTTTGTACTACGCATAACAGGTAACTATGCTAGATCCAGTTCGCGTACCTGTTAAATTGCTATTTAACGAGTTGTCTATTATGGATTTACGAGGTACAGGTAGCAAGTTTGTTTAGTACTTGTACCTCATTTATGCTTGGGACAAGCTTTATGATGATGAAGCTCTAATTTAAAGGTATAAATGTTTATTATTAGATTCTAACATGTAATTACTGCTGGTAGTGCACCTATATGTAAATTGTGTCTGTACTATTTTTATTCTGTAGGCTGTAAAAATGTCGTCGGTTAATCGGCACCTAAGCTTTAAGTAAGGCGCTTAATGCCTGAATACCGGATTGCCGGAATGCCGGATTGAAAAGGGTCCCTGAAAGCGCTGCGCTGCAAAAACGACTGAACCTTGTTACCGTAAATGCGAGTCCGCGATTGTACGGACAGACGGGCACGGTCAAGCAGGCAGCCTAGTTGCACCAGCGCCTGTAATAAGTAATAAATGAATTTATCGAAGTACCACATCGCCGGTGGTTCGGTAGCAGCTTTCGCTCCCGCAGGCGGTTATCCCTGGCGATTTATTTCACAATAATTAACGTGCGCGTACACATACAATAAGATACTTCGACGATTTTATTTATAAAAGTTAGTAAGACAAGGTTTCGAAAGTCAACGTTTTCAAAAAAGGTAAATGAAAGCCGAAATGTGCATAGAAATTAATTGATACAATTCTTAAGCTATAAAATAAATAAGTCTTATAATTCATCTTACTACTCACGTCTCTGTAACGATCTGAATCTATTACCTCTAGATATTCTAGATAAATGTCGCTTGATATCCTCAAATTCCTCAACAAAGAGGAAGTGTCGTGTCGTCATTGAGTCAATTAAAGTTTCGAGAACAATGAAACAAATGCAGTCCATCAAGCTGGGTATTGCCTAATTACTGTTTCAAAAGACCCATCACTATGCTAATAATTTTAGAGACGTTCAAAGATTGATAAATGAAATACACAGTGAAAATCTACTTAAACGGGTCAACTGCAAAGTAAAACAAAATTTGCACGTTTTAAATCAAAACAAC